TATAGATGAAATATCCATTGTTTCAAATATGGATGGAGACTTTAAAAATTCTATACATTCTATGAACTGCTATATTTTGATTTGGAACAGAATACTGAACAGTCTGATATGCACGAGTCTTCACTAAGAAAGTTGATTATTTTAGGACCTCTAAGTTAAAATGGACATTCTTGCATAAGATTGCTTAGACTAATAATGCAGCAATACCAATGTGTTATATTTTTCATGCCACTATTTACAAGTAATATTTGGAACCATGGCATCCTTCTTCTTCTTCACTGTTGGACTGGAAATATATATATATATATAAGTTTTAAAGAGAGTTCTGGATTTGTTAGTCTAAGCACCTTGACTTTTTTGTAATATAATCTTTTAAAGAAAAGTAATTATTTTATTTTGTTAGCTTTTTGTAAGACAAATATTTCTAAATACAGTACTACTGTGAAATCAGTTTATAAATAATTAAATACTAGCAATTTTAACATGTGGCTTCCTTTTCTTGGAAGCAAAGGTACTCATTTTATTATCAGCTTCATCACAGTTAAGGATTTTTGGGATGAAATGTAAATGGTCTAGATCAGGAGTTCTCAACCATTTTGGTTTCAGGATCCTTTTACAGTCTTAGAGATGATTGAGGACCCCCAAAAAGTTTTGGATTATGTAGGTTATTTTGACTTTGCAACCCCCTGAAAGGGTCTCGGAGACCCCCAGGTGTCCTGAGACCACACCTTGAAAACCACTGGTCTAGACTTTGCATTTCCCCTGTATATACATAGAGACATGTTTAAACCTTTGTTCTGAAATAGAAAAGATTTAATTATATAATTGTCTTTTGCTACAAATGGTTTGTACTCTGTACCAAAGCTTGCCTTTTATATCCAAGATATATATTGTTCTCTTGCCTCTTAGATCCAAGAATATGCGATTCAGTAGGGATACAGTGATCAGGACAGATGTTCTTTGCAAATCTCAAAAGATTTGCAATTATTCTGCAAGTAATTCTGAATTACTACTGTCAGGGAGACTTGTGAAAATGAAAATTGATATGTGGGTGAGTCTAACTAAATTATGAGTGTGTACAGTCTGTAGGTCTACTGCTATTGTACCAAGTTCATAAGGTCTTTTAACATTGGTCTAAAGAGCTAATTATTTTCTACAGTACAGTAGGTTTCAAGGCCCCAAATGCATTACTCTACAATTTTGAGATGATGTCCCAAAGTCACCCACTAACCTGCTGTGGCTAACAGTGGACTAGAATCTGGGTTTCACTTCTAGCCCAACACCTTAACTGCAACACCACATTACCTATCTTTGAAAAATTATGTGAAATCCAAGGTAATCAGCTCTCCTAAGGGAATAAATTGAATCAGTATTCCAATCACATGATCATGTGTGAGTTTGGGGGGTCCTCCCTAACTTAAACAGTTATCTTGACAACAGATTTGTGGAAGCAAATCAGATCCCAGTTAAAAGGCATCTATGGACCACAGCGAAAGGGTTGCCAATGCTCACAGGGCTAGAAAAGATTTAAACAATTGCCAAAAATGTTACCTTCCATCAATCTGTAATTAGGTAGTATGTAAATGGAGAAAGTGCAACACCATTGTTAATCTTTCCAGGAGTGGTTGTCCAATGAAAAACACTTAAATACAAGGCACACAACGCTGGGAAGCTGCAAAAGAATCCTAGGATAATGACAGGTCTGCAAGCCACTCTGGTACCAGTAGTCATGAGTCCACCATAAGCAAAAGACAAGAAGAGTGGTGTACATGGAAGGATATCAAGGAGGAAATTGTTCCTCTCCTGAAAGCAGATTGCCACCCATACCAATTCTGTCAAAGGGCGCTTGAATGATCCAGCAGGCCATCAGATCTATGTTCTGTGGGCAGATGAAAGTGGAACATTTTGGTTCTATGCTGGAGAAAGCAAGACACTGATACATCTGTGAGGCATGATGGTGGGAGTATTATGGCTTGGGGCTGCTTTGCAGTCCTAGAACTTGGAAAGCTCACAATCACTAAGGGAATTCTGGACTCTGCTAACAAATTCTATGGGTTATCAAAGTATCTGTAGGTTATGAAACCCAGCACATGCCCCAAAATATTAGTGAGCTGAAGCAGTTTTGTATAGAGGAATGGATCAAAATATGTCCAGGCCAACATCAGGTATTGATCAACACTTATAGGAAGGATTGGACTGAAGCCATTCAGAACCAGTCTGATTGAAGACAGCCAGTTTGGTCTAGTGATAAATGTTCCACGCTAGAAATCAGGAGACTGAGTTCTAGTCCTGCCTTAGGCATGAAAACTGGCTGGGTGGCTTTGGGCCAGTCACTTTCTCTTAGACCCCTCCCCCCACTTGTCAGGCTCGGGTGACAAGCCAGTCAGTCAATTCCTGTAACAACCAAATCAGCGTTTGGTTGATCCAAAAAAGGAAGACACTGCATGCAGGAAAAACGCTAGGAAGAAAAAATTGAAGTAATTGTTACTAAAGGAGATGCTACCAACTGCTAAATCTAAAACTTCACATATTTTTCCAGTAAAGGCAGTGAAATGTGACTCTTCAGTAAAAACATGACACAGAACATAGTCTTGGGTGTTTCGTTTTTAACTAGAATCTCTATTAAGAGAGAGAGAGTTTGGTGTAAAGTTAAGGCACCAGGCTAGAAACCAGGAGGCCGTGAGTTCTAGTCCGGCCTTAGGCATAAAGTCAGCTGGATGACCTTGGGCCAGTCGCGCGCGCTCAGCCCTGGGAAACAGGCAATGGCAAACTACTGTACTGTACTTCGGAAATCTTGCCAAGAAAACAGCAGGGACTAATCCAGACAGTTGCCAGGACTCAACACTGACTCAAAGTGCATGCATGCGCACACACACACACAATTAATAGGACTGATGAAACTCCCACTGCATTTTAGCTAGCAGAATTGTTGGATTACAGAGTTCTAATGCTGATAAATATACTGTACTCTCCCCTTTGCTGTTCATATAGGATGTATACATTTAGTAATGCAGTGATACCCAGCCCAGGAAGAAAATTGTTCCTTCATACTTGGGTTTGGCTTGTAGCAAAACTTGAATTTGGACTTATAAGCAATGTGGCGTGAGCTCTGAGAAATGTAGGTCAGAACGGTTCACAGCAATCTGCAGTACTGTCCAGGTCACTTTTGTACTATATGTGGGAGGAAGACCAAAGCTAAGTACTATGACACTATTTTTAAAAAATGGAGCTAATATCCAATAGTGAAGGGTAAAATTAAAAACAACTTGTATTGTCCTCCATTGTTGAGGATTCTTATTTTTAATTGTCAATCTATATGATGAGCCTGATTTCTGATATTAATTGCTAATGATATTAGCAACATGCAAACTGACTCTATTGTCCACAGGACCTACATTCATATTATCTATTGTCCACATTACCTACATTCATTACCACACTGTTTACATTTTTGATGTATGAGAATCGATGATGCTGAACACTATCAAACAGGCAACAGCAGGCTCATCTCAACCACAGGAAAGGGATCCTTAATTTACCATCTCGCTCCCCGATAGAAACACTTCGCAGAAGCGGCTCATGCTCCGTGGACTTCGTTCCCTTTCGATTATGTGAAAGAAATTGCTCAGATGAAACAGAAAACCAGGGGCCGTTGGCTCCTATACTTTCTCTCTCCCAGTTGCTGAGATCTAACCCTGTGGCTATCCCTACTTTTTATACTAGCCAGAGGATGGACCCGCCGCCTTCAAGGGCCGCAGGTAGTCGGATCCTCAAACACCAAGCGGTAGTTCACAGGAGGGAGAACTGGATTAATCCTCCCCTCAGCCGAGTTTCTTTCTTTGTGGTCCAGCACCTCCTTGCTGTATGAATCTTAAGCGTTACTCAGAAGTAGGTCCCGCTGAGACCACTTTCTCCTTAGCAACGGCGCTCGGGAGCGCAGTTTCAGTGCTCAGGCACATGCGGCGCTTGCCACACCCCTCACACGATTTCCCCTTTCTAGAACTCCGCCCCAGCTCACGCGGTCCAATGGGGTCAAGGGTCACATGACTCCCGGAAGTCACTTTTCCCCTAGTGCCATTCAAATTCTCCATGCCTTTTCATTGGCCCCAGGCGACAATGTGATCGCTGATTGGGCAAAGAAAGTTCGGCGCACGTCCACCTACCTTCCTGTCAATTACCTTCGGCCTCTCGCTAGGAGCCATGGAGGACGTGATCTGCGATTGGGCAATAGCAGCTACAGTGCGAGTTGTGACTGGTTGGCGATGCCAGACAGGTCCGCCCCCTTAAGTCACCTTATTTGTTGTTTATGAAACCTCCTGAATCGGCGACCATTCTACTGGCTGATTTACTCGTCGATTAAAACAGCACTTGTCTTTTCTATTGGCTAGAAGCTTTTTAACTCGCTATCCCGCCTCCTCCGCCGCATTGGTGCTAGAGCTGCTGCCCGTCCTTCCCTTCGCGGAGTTCCAATTAGCTAGATGAGGCAAGGGTGCGGTTTCCCATAAGATGATTGGTCGAGAACGCGTTCTCGCGCCCCAGGTGCCTAGCGCCCATTGGTTTAGAACACAGTCTAACTCCGCCTTCCGGCACAGAGTTGGGTTTGGTTGAGGTAGTTTGTTTGTGTGCGAAATAGTCGAGGGCCGCGAAGTGGGGGG